CGGCTACCCCTCTTCTATTTGCCAAGTGATTCAGGAAATCTTCCATGGAGATATACAAATTCCACTTCAATATCTGGATTGTCTAGTATAAAATACGCCAAAGCCTAGAAAAAAAGTACATTGAACACTGATGATCTTAGAAAGGAGGCAGACAAGATAATGTGAAATAATTGCTGAAGAAATGTAAAACGTATTCTGTCTTATTGAAAGAAGTAAAAAAGTAACAGCCTTTATAAACTGTCATTGATAATGGATTAGCAGCAATTCAGCACAATGAGAAAACAAAGACAAGTTATTAATCAGCAGCCACAATAACTCCCATCACTCCAGAGAATAGTCATGAAAGGATTAACCTCTGTACTCTGCATGCAAAGTACAAGTCAAAATTGTTTGAGAACTGAAGTTATTATACAAAATTACTCATTTCCTATGTTTCCATAGATTCTTTAAAGAAATGTAAGTTGATGTTCGCTATTTCAATGGAAAAAGCTTTTAAATTTCTGCAAGATTATCCATTGAATTAACTAGTTAACACAATGATTGGCAACAGAGGACATACTTAGTAGCATGGTGTGCACTGATCCAGTAATTTTTATACAAAATTAGCATTTTAAAATATTAGTTGAAATCCCTAGGATTGTAGTTGTATTTGAAGATAATTTATTTCTTCAATATATGTCGTTTAATGTGAAAGTATTTTTATTCTACAAATAAAAAATATTAACTTGCTATTCTAGATAGATCTGTCATGTTCATAGAAGTTCTTAGGCTCTTGATGTGAAAGGCTTAAGGACTATACTATATGGATCTTAATAGCACATTCTTAGCATCTGTGACTCAAAGTAACCGTTAGCAGGAATGTGTACTTACAGAGAAGGCTAATGGATTAGAGAATGGAGGAGTAGGCTGTTATCATTGTGCAGGCTAGCATAAAAATGTGTTTGATACACTGACAGTTGTATAAATTAATCAGGTTATTTAACCTATTTTTTGCTTTTTAGCCAATTAAGATTGAAGCAAATTTTGTATTGCAAGTCTAATTTTCATTCCTATTCACCCCAAACTTCACCAAAAGAAAAACAAAGTCCCTGAAACATCACATGCTGGTATAAAAAACAGATGTCATAGTGCTGTGATATTAATAAAAAAAGTTCTTGTCCATTACTTTCTGCAAAATTTCCTAATATTTCTGTGGCTTATCTCCAATGTGGCTTGGCTTATGATGTCCAGTTTAATCTTGTTGGCCTTGCTGAGAAGTGCCTTTGAGGTGTTTTGTCTTGTTTTGTTTTGTTTGTAATATTTGTGTTTTATTTTGTTTCAGATTATTCCTGGGGCAATTAGATTTGTATTCACCCTTTCATAAATTTATTATTCTAAAGTAGATGGTAAATGGTAAATGAGGGACTCATCAGAGCGAGGGATATATAGGCCATGACTCAACAAGGTACTTAAGCGCATACTTAAATACCTGCTGAATCTGGTCCTTACTGGTGAAGCATAGAAACTCCATGACTCAGTCACATGAAGCAAGGAGTAATGTAAGAGAGAACAGTTTTGCTGCTCATATAGGAAAAAAATGTCTAGTTAGCATTTGTTGGCAGTGATGAAGAGAACAGTTTAGAGAAACTTCATAGAGATTCCCAGGTTACATATCTACTGACCTGCAATATGAGAGTTTGAGAAAACCTGAATGTCCTTCATGAAAATGTGTTTTGCTTTGTTTGTTTGTTTTTTGTTTTAATTGATTGGGGCTTACTGAGTAAACAGTCTGACATAAATTCAGACTTCCTCTTCTCCCCTACCCCCCCCCCCCGCCCCGAACATGAATTCAGGACCAGTGCTTGTAAAGTGCTTGTACTGGTCCTGAAAGTGTTTTTATTGATTCACATAAGTGTGATTAGGCCTGATATATTGTGAGAAATCCAAACTTAAAATTGAGTCAGCCTAGATGGAATTTATAATTTCCTTCTAACTCGATGGTGATGGGTGTGGCGGTGTTGTTGTGGTGTTGTTTTTTAGAAGCCAAATTATCTCAAATCTAGAGTCAATGATTTGTGCTTCATAGATTGAAAGCTTGGAAACAGTTTCTAAGTTTTTGTTTGGCGTGCTAGCATTGCTGGATGCTAATCATTGCAAGTGAGGCAGAAGGATGGAGAAAAAAATAAAAGATGGTAATTGGAATGATGCGGTGATTAAGGTCCACTTAATGACTCAGCTTGCCAGGAGTGGGAACAAATACTGTACGTAGTTCAAAAGCTGTAAATGTCGCTGGTGGTTTTTAAGATATTGGACTTTTAAAATGGTTACTGATTCCTTTTTGGTTTCAGGGAAATCCGACCTAAGGCCAATGTAATCCCTCTGTGAACTCATCCTTGGTTTGTAGGAGTTGAAGGCCAAGAAAATCAAGACTTTAAATGCACGATTATAGGGATTCTCACATCTTTCAGCCCTATCCCCCATATTGTTAGGAACATATGACTTGAAGTTAGCTAATGGAGTACTGCATTCTTGCATGGTTTATTGAAGAGCCTAAAGGCTCAACTGGTTTAGGACCCCAGTCGGGAAAGAAGCCTGTAATAGGTAATAAGACTAAAACTGAGGTGCATTTAGGATGTAATGTTAACAATTTGATTTGATCTGAAATACTTATAAGAGCACAGCAGAAGTAACACAAGCCTTTGTCTTTAGGAAAGCTGACACTGAAGGAATCTGAAATCGTCTAAGGAGTTTTTATAGTGTTTTTATGATGTATTTGAAATCAAGTGCATAGAAGTGGGAAATATAGAAACAGTTGGAAGGGCTGCAATTGAAATGCATGCCAGTAAAATCCAAATAGACAGAAGGGCAAAAAGTCTAGTTTGGCTGAGCAAGGGCACAGAGCAGCATGAATAATGAGCAGAAAGCTTATTGCTTTTAAAATATAAACAATCTGTTTAGGAAAAATAAAACACGTTAAGGATAGTTGAAGAAACAAAAAAGTGTGAAATTTTAGATTGCTTTTCAACTAATTCAGAAGGGTTATTTAAATATTTATGGTAGAAAGACAAGACCATTTTTTTCCCCTGTAAAAACAACTTCAAATATGAATGTGAGATTTGTTAAAGAATCTTGCTTCTGCCTATAAAAGAGGAGTGAGAGTATGTAGAATACTCTTTAGGTGTTAGTATGCAGATAACAATGGTCTTGGGGCTCATGCAGCTCTCTAAAACTTTGGACATTAATGAGGTAGAGTGTTCAATCCATATAATATACATTTCACACATTTTAAAAGTACATGAATATTCTAAAAATATCATATTTTATTTCTATGGCATTGATGATTGGTTGGATTCCTGAGAACTGGCAAAAATAACAGCAGTGTCCAGAAAAGGGTCTTGAAATGTAATGGCTGAATATTTTGGTTTAAGGGCTAGATTCACAAAAGGGAACTTTGGCATTGTAATGCTTAGGTGGAGCATGCTCAGTACAGAACCTGCAGAGAATTTAGCTGCCGAACTCTAACGTATGTCTGCTAAGCATGTGGGCACTGAGATGATTCAAAGGCTTACAACTTGGTCAAATGTGGGCGCATTTTTATGAGGATTGCAAAGACACATCCCTAACACTCAGGCAACTGCTCTGCTGAATATCATGGCTCTGCTTAAAAGAGGGAATAGAGCAATAGAGCTTCTCAGCATAATGGTTGTAAGATTTTTTTTTTTAAGATGTCCAAAACTTATTTTTCCCTAATATTGTTTCAACAGTTTCCAAGAAATCACGCTACTCTTTTCACCCCCTGCAAAAAAAACAAAAAAAACAAAAACAAAAAACAGCTTGAGGCAGACACTGAACATTGAAAACTTCAGCCTGAATGGTTAAACTTTGCAAAGTTGAGTCATTTATAAAATAGGTCTCATAATGGAAAATGTCAGGTAAACTTAACTGTAGGCAGCGATTATCATCTCTGCATATAATCAAATTTCTTAGGTTGGCACACAACAGAAACGTAAACATTTTGATACATAAGAGGGTACTGTTAGTTCATAAAAATAAATACGGTTTTATGATCTGATTGTTTTCTTTGGCGATCAGTCCTGTCCTTTCTTCTTGTGTATGATACTAAAATGATCAGACAATTTACACATTGATGCATATGATCATTGTCTTGTTTGTATTCAGAAGCTGTACTAAAATTATTTCGCTCTTTTGAATTCCCTTTCCGTCACCTTCTAAGCTCCTAAAATGCTTTTGTAAAAGGCATCTTCCAAATTGAGTAGGTTCACATTTTTCCCCAAAAGGGGGGAAAATAGTTCTGTGGATAGAGTAAGGAAGGTTCCAGTTTGTTGAACAGCTTGGAAATTATCCTCTAAAATAATGACTTCTAGTTAATTTCCTGCAATGGCAAAATGGTGGGTCTTTAAAAAAATTCATGAGTACTTCCAACCACAGCATGTTAAATTGGAACTCTGACAGCTGCAGTGCTGCTTCTTTTTAATGGTGATAAATGACCTTTTGTGTTTCAGATGTGCAGCGTACTTACCCACGTTATTACAGATTTACTGAGCAGCTGCAGCCTTAACTCTGGTTAAACCAGGTGGTTAAGGGACATATTCATCCTATTTAGATATCTTCCCATACAACATCTTAAAAAAATCTTTTTTTATTTGTAAAGGGGGCAAGGAATGGTGTCCCTAGCCTCTGTCTGTCAGAGGATGGAGATGGATGGCAGGAGAGAGATCACTTGATCATTGCCTGTTAGGTTCACTCCCTCTGGGGCACCTGGCATTGGCCACTGTTGGTAGACCGGATACTGGGCTAGATGGTCCTTTGGTCTGACCCGGTACGGCCTTTCTTATGTTCTTAAAGACTTCAATAATGTTAAGAATGTTAATTTAAGTAGATATCTGTTTTGTATAGCTATTGCATGGAATGTCCCTTTTTAAAAGAATACACTTTGGGGTTCCTTTAATCTAGCGTAATTCTGTATGTCAGGTGGAATAGAAAGGTACAAAAAAGATTCATGTTCTTGACTCCAGAACTATTTGCTGCTACAATCTGTATTACATAGATCTCCAGCTATGTATTCCTCAATGTTTTTAGATGTTTAAAAGAAAAAAAATTGGATCATATCTGTGCTCCAGCTTTTGAGATACAAAGGTTAAAGTTTTCAGAGCAAAACAAACTGCAGGGCCATTGCATTCATAAAAAGAATACATACCCAACTAATGTGTTATGTACAAATCATCTCTTTTGAGCATTACCAACTCACATTGCCCAAGGCGGAGGTGGTGTGTGAGAAATGATTTAAATAAGGAAAAAGACTAATACAAGAGACTATTGTCCACAAAATGCTTCTTACTTATTTTGCTCTTCTCGTTAGGTATTCCAACTTGATCTTGAACTTGTTCTCCCTCATGGTGGATGCAAACATTCCAGATATTGCTCTTGAACCCGACAAAACTGTGAAAAAGGTAACTGCAAAACTTTATTTATTAGATAGAGTAAACAGATTGTGTACTTGATAATGTTCTTAAATAGCTCAGATAGGGCAATCTACATGTAATTATGACCTCTGAACTACTCATTCCCAAAATGATGGAGCTTGGGCAATTCATAGAATCACTGAAGTTAGAGATGGAAAATACCTATTGAGTCATCTAGTGCATTCACCTGCAAGCACAAGAATATTCGCTATTGTACACGTATTAGTCCATAATCCAGTCCAGTGTCCTAAATAATGGGGTTTTACCATTTAGAGGGACTATCATAGTTTAACTAATATGTATAAATAGATGGAGCTTCAACACATCATGCACACAATCTGTTATGTTCATAAGAATGTAGAAACTGCCATGCTGGATAAGAACTGTGGTCCATCTAGTCTAGTATCCAGTGTGACAATGACAAATGCCAGATGTTTCTGAGAAAAGTGCAGGAAACCTCTTGGTAAATGTGAGAGAAACTACCGCCCTGTGAAGGTCTCTTTTAATCCCCAGTAGCCATGTTAAATAATACTAGATATTTTCCACTCCTGTAATGTCCATTGATTATCACAGGTTCTTTCCCAAGGTAGGCTACACATAAGTTTCAAACTAATAAGCAATACACACCGGTCAATATTATACCGCTATAGCAGGGATCAGCAACCTGTGGCCCACCAGGGTAAGCACCCTGGCGGGCCCGGCCGGTTTGTTTACCAGCCGCGTCCGCAGGTTCGGTCGATCACAGCTCCCACTGGCCGCGGTTCGCCGCTCCAGGCCAATGGGGGCGGCAGGAAGTGGTGGCCAGCACATTCCTTGGCTCGCGCCACTTCATGAAGCCCCCATTGGCCTAGAGTCGCGAACCGCGGCCAGTGGGAGCCGTGATCGGCCGAACCTGCGGACATGGCAGGTAAACAAACCGGCCCAGCCGGCCACGGTGCTTACCCTGGTGGGCCGTGTGCCAAAGGTTGCCGATCCCTGCGCTATAGTGTCATCCTGCATCTGGCAAGCTTAAGGTTAGTTAGGAAGCAAAAGAAACAGTCAGAGGTCAACACCCCACTAGTTAAATTGGTTTAATCTCTGAAGCATGAGTTGATGATACTGGTTTTTGTTTTGTTTTGTTTTTTTAAGTTACATTAACTGTTCTACCTTGGAGTATTCTTATTCATATAAATGTTAGTCCGGGGGGGGGAGCCCACAACGTTATTTTAGGGGGTCACCTTACTTCTGTGCTGCCTTCAGAACCGGGAGGCCAGAGAATGGCGGCAGTTGGCCGGGCGCCTTGCTCTGAAGGCAGTGCCCCACCAGCAGCAGTGCAGAAGTAAGTGTGGCAATACCGTATCATGCCACCCTTACTTCTGCACTGCTGCCTTCAAAGCTGGGCGGCCAGAAAGGGTGGCTGCTGACTGAGGGCCCCGTTTTGCAGACAGCAGCACAAAGTAAGGGTGCCAATACCATACCATGCCATCCTTACTTCTGCGCTGCTGCTGGCAGAGGCTCTGCCTTCAGAGCTGGGCTCTCGGCCAGCAGCTGCCGCTCTCCAGCTGCCCAGCTCCGAAGGCAGCTCCACCACCAACAACAGCAAAGAAGTAATGGTAGCAGTACTGCAACTCCCCCTACAATAACCTTACAACCCCTTCAGACAATTCCTTTTGGGTCAGGATCCCTCCAATTACAACACAATGAAATTTATGATTTAAATAGCTGAAATCATGACATTTACAATTTTTAAAATCCTATGACTGTGAAATTGACTAAAATGGACTGTGAATTTGGTAGGGCCCTAATTACGTTACATTGGTAGTGTAGGTAAATGTTGTTTGATAACCTCCACTGTAAATCAAGATATCTGTTGTCTTAGTTCTATGCAAGACTTCAATAAAAAGAATGTTAAAAGAAACTTATATTCCATATTTGTTGTCCTCAACAGCAGTTTTCTATCAGCATAGTAGGCTGTTGAGAGTTCTCCATATTGCAGAGAAAGTCAGAATTTTATTTTTAATGGACACTTTTTCATGTTTTAATATAACCAATGTTATCCAAATAATTGTTTTAAGTAGAATAAAGTTCACTGCATCATTAAGGGGAAAGATTTTTTTTTTTTAATTGAAGTCACTGGACTTGGGGGATCCAAGAGGATTGTGTTCTAATTCCACTTCTGCCACAGGCTTCTTCTGTAACATCAGAGAATTAGCTCAATGTCTTTTTAGTAGGGCTGGCCGAAAAAGCACAATTCTGTTTCACACACAAAATCAAGGTTTCAGAACTTCTTGTTCTTCCATATTAGCAAGAAAAAGACCTTTTGAAATATTATGCTGAAAAAAACCAAGACATTTACCACAGAATAGCTGATAGCCAAATGGTCTGAATTGGGCAGAGCAGGGACTTGAATTTAGGTCTCCAACATCACAAGTGAATTTCCTCTGACTGGGCTATATAAAGTTTCAAGAACCTATGGGTTTCTGGTGCAAGGTTTTTTTTTGGGGGGGGGAGAGGGAGGAGGGCGGTTGTCATTGACAGAAACAGTCATCAAGAAATATAATTGGCAGTCAGACCAAATTTCAAAAGTCTTGGTCCTTTTCTCATCTGAAGTCTTCAGGTTCTGACATACCACTTACTTTAATCTCATTCATCTCTGTCAGGAGTTCACTGTTGCTTGACTTAATAGTATTCATTCTCTCCTTGGACATTCTCTTGTGAGCTTCCTGACATTGCTTTTATCAAACTCACTCTTACAGTGTTCGTTGCCAATTAGGATTCAGCATTCTTGCTCCTTATTAATACCTTGGCATCTACATCTTTCATAAGATGCACTGTCCTGGGGTTTCTCCCTCCTAGCTGCCTCTTGCAGTAAAATACTAGAACTGAAACTGTACCCACAACCTATTTAATGCATACTTTAAAAGAAAAGCACATCAGTTCCATCATTTGAAATGCTGTTTTGTTGGGAAGGGAAATACAGTGCTTACAACTATCAGTTAAGCAAAAAAAACCTATGGTAGCAGGGCATATTAAAGTCGTCTTGTTTTCTCAGCACAGCAAGATATTCACCAGTTCTGTAAGATGGTCTGAATTCACTCTTGATATTCTCAAAAGAATAACTAATGTTCCTTTATTAGATTGAATTTATTTGTTCAATTTTGTTGCTACTTCTTTATTAATCACATTTTTCTTACATGGTTATTTGGGGGTTTGGTTTTTTTTTGGTCCTTGTATGTCAGCATTCAGGTTTTCAAACAGATTTCTATAGCTTCAAAACACTCTACTGCTTAGAAGCCAAGAGAACCATTCCTTCTCATGGATTTTTAATGATTATAGTTTTAAAATTACACTTTGAATTCACTACTAGATTTTGTGCGAGAATTCCATTTTCTAGAAGGATCCCATCATCTTTAAGGAAAATTTGAACCTACCTCCTCTCTTCAAGGCAGAAATTGGCTTTATGACCTACAAAAAATCTATAGTTCTATCCAAAGCTACAGTGACATTGATTTTTAGAGAGATTCTATATTCTTGGTTTGTTGACTTCATTTTTACTTTAAGGAAAAAATAATCAGGCACCATCAGAAACATTATCGTGGTACCTTGTAGAACATGGATAAATCACTGCTAGATTTAAGACAAGATTGTTGTTGTGGAAATACCTGTATTTCAATTACTAAACATGCAATGGCCGGTCTGACATCAGTTATGGGAGCTTTTTAATACTAATAACAAAGGAACTAGCTGTTTTACCTTTCTTATGTTGAGTGACAAGCTTGTTCAAAGTAATTTAACAAGATAATACTGTACCTCATTGTAAAGAATTAAATAATGTTTTCAGGTTTTCAGTTGATTTTTTTTTTAAAGCTTTAAACAAAAAATCCATATATATTTCAAGAAACTCAAATTAGCTAAAGATCTGTTTTGGACTGACCTGTAAAATGAAATTACCTTTGGTGTCTGAGTAAAGTCAATAGCCATTTCAGCCATAATTTCACTTTCATGGAAGATTGAGGTGAAGATTTAAAAACATTTTGTTAATCTAACAAATCCCCTCTGCCTCTTAATGCAGACGGAAGTTCACAGCCAGCATTTTCTCATTTAGTACTGAAGTGAGTACTCAGATTCTGCTGTTCTCAGTTTTACAATGGCTATACTTTTAATGATGGGCTAGTGATTCAGCAGGGCTGCATTCAGACAGGAAAAACATGATTATCTGCTGGGTTGGCTGAAGTAATGAAGTAAACTCAGCAAGGAAATAATGTTTAGGTTAACTCTCTTTTAAACTTGAAAAGGAAAAAGAATATTTTTTTAAATTATTTTGGTGCTTAAACTATAATGAAATGTGGGGGGGTAAGGGAAGTAGAATGCAATATTTTTTTAAAAGCTGATACTCATAATCATGATGCAAGAAAGGCTTACTGAAGAGGGTTATATGCTTTAATTATTGTAATGAAGAATTCAGTTGCTATAGTGATCCAGCACACTGAAGTATTTTAGTAGACACAACCATAATGCTGTTAATATCAATGGGTGTAGATTGCTCTAACAATACTATGTTTATATAGCTAGAGATGGCGGAGACTAGAAGACAAAGGAACGTGTTTATCATTAGACATCTGAAATTACTCTACTTTCCACTAAAGCTAGTGGAGGTGAATCTATGACTATATTATAGCTCTTGGTTTCCAGTGAACAATACATGTTGAGGGTGCAGGGACTATGAAGCTCACTGATGGAAGGAAAGATTTTGTTATACAAGCGTGTTTGTGACCAGAGAGATGTTTAACATCAAGTTAACACACCATGCTGCCAGATGGCTATGGGTTCAAGTCTAACCTGCAAACTTTGCATATTGAGCTGACAAAGAATACATTCTCAGAATATGTGGGAGGAGGTGGGATCGTGTACATGACGGCAGTAACCCATTTGGTATTCAGTGTAAGTGTGTAAGGTATCAGCGATCTCATATCTCTTATTTATTACTGGTTTGTGGGTGAGGACTTCAC